TTGAAGTAGTGAATAATAAACAGTTTTCTATTTGTTAGTGAGAGACAGATGGAAAACTAAAACCAAAATGTGAAAGGTATTGAGAAGAAATTTGGTATTAATTTTTGATACAAGAGGTGCTCATCATTAGGGTGATATACTAATAATTTCAGGAAGATTAGTGGGAGTAACATGAACGTTAGACTTCAGAAAGCAAGGGCCTTAGTTTCTCCAAGAAGCCTCCCCCCTCTACTCAAATCCTCTAGTCTCCCTCTCAACTCTTACAGCACCTGCAGGCAACATACAATTTAACTCCTAATTATAGCTTCTCTTACTATAAACTTTTTTTCCATCTGTGGAAACCTAAAATCAGGGATAAAATTTTTGACACCTTTTCCTTCCCTAAGAAATTAGTAAACCATTAGGTTCTCAAAACTTTATTTATGTAAACTCCTGTTACTAAAATGATAATCTAAAAGCAACAAACATTAAAGAACACAAACACATATAAGGAGTAGCTAAGTAATAAGGTGCCACAGATCACAGATCAAGATTAAGTTCTGTTTGGGCAACTTTTTGAAGTTTCATTTTTAGCAGTCAGATCCCATAACTAAGAATGTAAGTTATCTTTTAGCATGTTTTCAGTACTTCCTGCTTTATATAAATATCTTTATCTATTAACTTTCCTGATTAAACACCATTGTTATGGAGTAATTAGAATTCCAATAAATGGTGCTGGTAATCTACACAACTTTTCTGCAGATTTTAAATGTTTCCTGTAGTTTAACGTTCATCAAGTAAAACTAATTCAAATAAAAACATATGTTAAAGAACTAAGTCAAATGTACCAAAGCCTTCACAAAATGAAACACTATGCATTAGTAACCAAAGATTGTACTTAAATTCTAAAATTCTCCGAACTCTCCAAAAATGCATTTCTTTAACTCTTTTGCACCTTATAAAATGTAAATTTCATTTTCTTAGTATCTTTTCACGTAAAATTCATATTAACTTAATCTCCCCCCCAAAATAGCTTTTAAAAGGGAATGTACACAAATCAAAATAACATTTATTTCATTTCTAAAGTATTTTCACTGGTTATTTATGTATTTTCAATTAAAATTTTTAGGCAAAAAGAAAAAAACTCAGATTTTTTTTTTTTAGAAAACTATCCAAAAGAAATCTTCCAGAGTGCGATTATTTCTGGTTACATTAGGATCTCTCGTTAATGGAACTGAAATTCAAATGATTTTTTTACTATTCTATGATTCCCCATCACTCTTCAATGAGGAATATCTAATACTGCTGAGATTGTAAAGAATCATCAGAACAGGAGAGGCTGGCAAATGTTAATATACACCTTGGAATAAGTGCAAGGTGAACAGAAATAAGTCTTAAGATCCTGTTGCTTAGGATATGGTTGAGCTTCTTCCACTTCCCCATCTCAGAAAGCAACAAGATAAATGAGCAAGCGGAGCTATGCACGATTACAAAGCCCCTGGCTACCAGAGAAACCTCAGCCCCTAGAGTCGCCAGTGCACTCTATTGCACTCAGCTGGCCACGTGGCTGTCACCATCAAAAGAAAGATAGGAGAAACCGCTTCGACTAACCTGGAAATAAATAGCTGTCCTCCTCCCTTCAGCAGAGTTAAGCTAAAAGAAAGTCTGTGTCATTTCTTTGCATGCTAAGACTTTTTCCCCGTAAGGAGACACGGAAGTACAAGCACTGGTTAAAACAGACTTCAAAGCAGAAGTCTAGTACAAGAATAACCCGAGTGTGACTCCCCAATGCATTACATACCCCAACTCCCGAGAGCCGCAGTGGGAATTGAGGCATTTTTGCAAAGGGGTAAAAGGGGGTGGAGTTAAGAAGAGTGGAGGATGGAGTACTAAGCACATGGGCTGCTTTCCCGTAACTCCCACCCTAGGGTGCCAGACCGGGGGCTCCCGCCCTGGGGCAAACTCCGAAGGCTGAAGGGCCTCTCCCACCGCAGACCCAACTTTGCCAGAAAACAAGGGTCTTGCGGGCAGAGGTAACCACGGCCTCAAAGGAGGCGGCGAACAGGAAGTGTCCATATTGCAGCGCTGAAACACTAGCTCCCAACCGACCGACACGGCCATCCTCCGAGGCCCCCAAGACGCCCGCCCGCGGGGAGGCCAGGAGGTGGCGGGGTCTGCCCCCACATCCGGGACCCATCCCAGGCCACCCCAACGCCGGGCCCCCTCCCGGGCACTACTCCGCGGGCCCGGACGAGGACTCTACGCCCGGCAAGTCTCGCTCCACTTCCAGCTGGAGGAGAGGGCGTTGCAAAGACTCCCAGGGGACTTAGGCACTACCCCTAACAGCAGATGTCCCCGGATCGAGCCCTAATCGTCCTCGGGGTCACCTCCTCGCCTGCGGGAGAGCCAACACTCCTCCCCGCGGTTTCTGCCGCGCGACACCCGCTCCCGGGCGGTCATTACCTCTCAGGAAAACTCCTAAGTCCTCCCCGGGCCACACTTCCCTCCGTCCGACACCCCCAGGAGCTCACACAGGACCCAAGCCGAGTGCCCGGGGACACCCCCACGTCGGCGCTAATTCTTCACGGGACAAAAATGTCCGAGTGCCTCACGGGACAGCCGCCTCCGTGCCCCACGCCCGGCGCCGGCCGCACGCGCTGCCTCTGCGCCTGGGAGCGGCGCCGCGGGCCGGGGCGGGGAAAGGACGCCGGGCGGCGCCTGCCCGGGAGGGCTCCGCTCCGCCCGCCCGGGACTCACCGTCAGCTCGGCCGCGGCAGCAGGGAGGCGAGGGACGGCCAGGGGAAGAGACAATATGGCAGAGCACCGCAGCTGCTCCCTGCGGCTTCCAGCAGCCGCCTCCGGGAAGACGCGGCGAGAAGCAGGCAGCGGCAGCTGCGGTGGCGGCCGCGGCAGCACCACATCCCCTCCCTCTCGCTTCCTCCCCCTCCCTCCCCCGGCCCCACTGCCATGGCAACGCGGCGCCAAGGAGATTAGCCCCGCCCCTCCCTCCCGGTCCCACCTCCTGCGACCCCTCGGGATGGGGCTCAACCCGGCCCTCCCCCTCGCCCCTCCTACCGGAGGGACCGGGCCTGGATCGGCGAGCTGCCCAGAACGGCGGGTGGGGCGAGGTGAAATGCAGGGTCCGGAAGGGCGGGGCTCGCACGGAAGGCAGGGCGGAGACGTTGTGGGCCAGTGCGGGTTTGGGGCTGGGCAGGGGCAGGGGAAGGCGGGAAAATGGAAACCCCTGGCTTGTTCCTGGAAGGACCTATAGGAGAGCGTCGGAGGCGCGGCGCGGTCGCTGAGTGGCCGAAGTGGCGTGGGGCGGGGCGAGGGTGGCCGCGGGGCAGTTCGGCCCACGGTGCCTGTGCTGTAGCTGCGGAGACCGCCTTCACCAGCGCTAAGTTCTGTGGGTTTCCCCAAGAGCTTTCCACCGCTGCCCAGCCTCTGAAAGCACTTTCGGAATAATACACCGTTACTATAGCTTAAGGTAGATTTACCCTAGCTTGACTGAGATTTTCTATGGAAACCGAGCTCAGTGTGTTTGTGGTGGGGGGAAAAAAAGACTTTGGAGGGAGATCCAAAGTTTAATGAACAGCATTTACTGAGTGCTCGCCAAGGGCTAAGGACAGGGCTGAGGACTTAACATGCATTGTCCTACCAACAATATTAACATAACCTTACCAGATAACATGCATCATTTTTTAATGTAAGGATAGTCCATTTGGGTTATACTTCCCGGTTGTTTTGTTTTTGCTAAATTTGCCACCCCTATCCTAACTCCTATGAATTCTCAGTTTATAGATAAAGAATCTGAAGCTAAGAAAAATAACACATCAAATATATGTAATTGGCAGAACTAAGGCTCCAGTTTGCTATCATTCTGATCCTGATAATTAAATCGCTGGATTTCTATAGTAACATCTTCAAAAACTAGAGTAGTGACATCTTCTTACAAAGATGTTTAGTGGACTAAAAGAAAAGTTACATGAACCCCAGACACTGAGTACATGCTCAATAGAAGTTCATTTCCTTCCTGAACAGTGAATGTTAACTAGATATTCACTATGTGCCTGGCTCTGCATATAAAGTAAGTTGAGTATAAAACAGGCTGCCTGCTGACAATAAAACAAGTCAAGCTGTGAGGATGACAGATCCAGAAGAATTATGGGCATCAGAACATACAAAACAAAAATGGAAGCATTTTCTCCCCTGCATTTATATGATTTGTCCAAAGACAATGCTAGTTCCATTTGTTTTTTTCTTACACGTCCTGGAGGCCCTCACAGCTGCGTTCAGAAGCCACTAGGCAAACATACAAGACACTTCAATTGGAAGCAAGAGTTGCTTCAATTTTCTCCCTTCAGAGCAATCCCTATTGCCCCTTCATGTGGATAAATTGAAGGAAGGTCCTGGAAGAAAAAGAGAACAGAGGAAATAAAGATGAAAAGATTGACAGGAAGCAGTTTCTTTTCTTCCTTTCTTTCTTTTTTTTTTTTTCTGAGACAGAGTGTCACTCTGTTGCCCCAGACTAGAGTGTCCTAGGGTCATAGTTCACAGCAACCTCAAACTCCTGGGCTCAAGCAATCAATCCCCTTGCTTCACCCTCGCAAGTAGCTGGGACTCTAGGCATGCGCCACCATGCCCAGCTAATTTTTCTTTTCTTTTTTTTTAGAAGAGATGGGGGTCTCACTCCTGCTCAAGCTGATTTGGAACTCCTAAGGCCAAGCGATCCACTTGCCTTGTCTTCCCAGAGTGCTATGATTATAGGGGTGAGCCATCATGCCCAGCCTGGGCTGGCTGAGAAATAGTTTCTAAGGAACCACAGCCTACTCAAAACTGAGTTTGTTTTATCTCTGCTGGCCGTTGTCATGGTGGCCACTAATGTAATAGAAGTCTTCATCTCTTCACAGATTATTGTATTAATATCTTATTTGGCATATCAATCTTTATTTTTCCCTCATTACTCTTGGTCCATCTACTTAAAAGCCAAGTGACTAAACAGTCTTCCTCAACTCTGAAAGAATCACAGAATTTGAGAGCTGGAAGATACTCTAAAGATATACCATCCAGGAACTCACTCTACCATGGGAAGACAAATCCAGAAACCTTATATAACTTGTCCAAAATCAAATAATGAACCTACCACACCCTCCTCCACTAAATTCTCTCTGCTGATCCTCTACTGTCTGATTCAACCCAGAGAAACTGGGAGCACTTAAATAATCTCTGTGGGTAAGGCTCACATCTCTCAGCAGATCTGTTAGAGTCCAGGGATACTTGTATACCTAGAAGCTATTTTAGAGGACTTGGAACATCTACCCAGGAAAATCTCTGATTAAAGATAATGGTGATTCAGAGTAAGTAGCTCTCCCCAGGAGTTTACAAGAGTAAAAAAGAGTAGGAAACTAAAACTTAACTCTTTAGGAAAAAGAAGATCCTAGTATTTAAGATCTCTTGTGAAGCTTAGATTCTTTCTCCAAAATATTTCAAAGGAATATATTAAGTGATAAACTTTACTGGAAGACAAATGCATTAGCAAATAAATTGTTTAAAATGTTCTCTTTGTTCTTTGAAGCCAGGCAAAATGAGAAAAAATAAATGAATTATATAAATAAAATGCTCTCATGTTTAGGCTGAAAGTGATGGGAACTGAATGTTCATATGTATGTTTTTAATGCATTTATCTTTATATAATGTTACGTATATTTAACAAAAGACTTTGTGATCATGAATTGATGATTATAAAAATAATCAGTTTGTCAATAAGGAATCTAGACTTCAAGACCCTTAAAGTTAAGGATCATATGTTTTTCATTTTTATAATCTAATTTCTTAGAACAGCTCTGGGCCTGGTGAGGTGGCTCAAACTTGTAACCCTAGCTCTCTGAGAGGCCAAGGTGAGTGTATCTCCAGTGCTCAGGAGTTTGAGACCAGCCTGACCCAAAGCAAGACCCTGTCTCTACTGAAAATAGAAAAACTAGCCAAGTGTAGTGGTGCACACCTGTAGTCCCAGCTACTCTGGAGACTGAGGCAAGAGAATCGCTTAAGCCCAAGAGTTTGAGGTTGCTGTGAGCTACGCTGATGCCACAGCACTCTACTCAGGCCAATAGAGTGATATTCTGTCTCAAATTAAAAAAGAAAAATAGATAAAGAAAGAAAGAACAGCTCTGGTACAAAGGTGATGTTCAATAATGTTCAATAATATTGTCAATAAAAGAAGTAACTTTCTTCAAATTATATGATACCAAGACTAGGATACAACTTTCCTAATTACCGTTCTGTCACTTAGGTTAAAATTTGTGACTTTAAGTCATAACTGAATTATGACTAAAAATCTATATATAATTTTTTTCCTGAAGGAACTTTTTCAATCTACTCCTTAAAAGCGACTACCTATATTTAATAATATCTATATTTCTATAAACCCTGGCGTTGACAGTAATTTGGACCAGTCCTCCTGCTGAGGACACCAGAAAAGCTCAACAAAATACACAGGTTATCAACTTGAAGGCAGGAGAAAGCTAACAAGATAATGAGGAGTAACCAGGCCATGATCTGGGGGAATGACGAAAGGCCTGGGAATATCCATTTGTGCATTCCATAGAGAACTGCTGAGAGGATGTACAGGGATAGGGGGCAGAAAGTAAAGTCCAGGGTGTGCTAAGAGAGGAGGAGGTGAACTCTGTTGAAGACCATTTGCTTTACCCTGGGAATTCAAATGGCTATCCTAGAAGTAAAGGGGGCTGCAGCTCGCTTTCAAATCACCTCAACCCTAAAACTGGATTCAGGTAATTTCTTTGAAGTAATGTTCGCAAACACTTGGCAGAAGCAAACTAAAATCCTTTCTTAAGTAAAATAGTATCATTCAAATCCTCAA